GAGTGATAAAAGGAGTTGTAGGGAAAAGGTTAACCTGATTTTCATTTAGCTTCAGAAAGCTTGCCAACCTATTTTATGTTGATTTTCAAAATACCCGTTTCAATCATTAAGATTTCTTTGGGTGGTATGCCAGACAAATTCAAGTAGAACACAAGGGATTGGAAGGTTGATTGCACTCCTACGATTGTGGGTGGTTTAGTTCTTATGAACCAAGCACTTCTGTTTATTTGAAGGGAAATTAAGCAAAAACCCCTCCATTGGACCCTTGTTTGGTGAAAAGGACGGCCTAATTTATTTTGCTTCATAAACCTCCTAAGGAGAGGAAGGCATAATTGAGTAAGGACAAAGTAAAATATCATTTTTTTTCTTGAACAATATTGCCAGAATAACACATTATTGTGAACCAGAGTAACATGTTATTGTGAGACAAAGTAACATGTTACTGTCAAATAGAGTAACATGTTATTGTTTACATCAATTTCGAACAAAATAATTATTTTTATTTTTTTTAGAAATTTCATAATCAACATGGATCTTATTTGATAAATCTTGATGTGAGGATTCTAAAAATACTAATTTTATTAAAAACCGACATCTAGATCAAAAGTTAAATTATTTTAAAGTTTAATATTTTGGTAATAGTGGTATATGTTGGATTTTTCAAGGAAAACTTATTTTTCTTGTCCTTAATGCATTAAAGTTTTATTATGAGGGGGCTTTGACTAAATCCCCCTTGTTTAAATGGCTACGTAGTTTTACTTCACATTGGGAGCCCCATGGAAACCAATTGCTTGAAAGTATAGAAGGAATAGTGAAGGGTAGCGGTGAAAGGTTGTTTCAGAAGTTATGGTGTGGGCATTTAGAAGGCCAGCATGAAAGGACTTGAGTGATTTGTGATGCAGCTACCATTGAAGAACAAAAAAAAATCAGGTTAAAATTTCAAGAGATTGTAGGGATAGAGGTGCCCCTAATGGAAGCATTTTCACTTTTTTCAAAAATTTTGATGGAGAAATTTAAGTTCTGTGGGAATGAGAAGAAATGCATTAGATTTGTTTTAAGCAGATTTCATAATTATTGGAGTGTCATTTTGTTCTTCAAAAAACTACTTGCCAAAAAAAATATTTTCTTACCAGCTCACATAACCCAAGGTGTGGACAATTTCATGCCCTTTATTTGGTGAAATACCATTTGGGTGCTTTGTCTAACACAGACGAGATTCAAAATTCCTATACAGTGATATTCTTGCTCCATGGCAAGGGATACGTCTTTGACACTCAAATCACCTAAATACTAGAAGCATGTCAATTCCAAATAGATGAATTCCATGCAAGAAAGCTACTGGGTATGTGTAAACACCCCATTTTGACCGACCGTTAAAACTTAGGTGCTTGAAATGCTTCCCGATGATGAAAGGTATCATAATTTCAACCTTTGAGATGCTTAAAATTGTTAGAGCTGCTATACTATCATTTTTATGCCAAAAACTATTTTTAGCCAAAATTACCGTTTTTAGGCTCGTCTTGAGAGCCTATTTTCACTTAGGAAAAGTCAAAATTAAAAATGTCTATTTCACACAAAATTGTAGCCATTCGAATTAGCTTCCCAACACCACTTGATTTGCCTCAATCCGATATCGGACAAGAGATATATCCAAAATACGAAAGTGTCGCGAAGATGTGAGGCAACACATCCCACCGACACCCAGAATTTTTTTTAAGTTGCTATTTCTTCGGGAGGCGCAAGGCGAATGCGATGAGGCAACCCTAGGACGACCTAGGGTGTTCTCCAAGCATTCCCTAAGCCTATAAATACAACCCCTCATCCCCTCTTTGAAAGAATTGAAGTTTTGGCCAACTTTAAGTGAGTTTTAAGAGAGAATAGCCACCTCCCTTCCACCCAAACCCTAAACTCCAAAAATAACAAACCCTACAGCAGCTTTAGCAATTAAAAGAGATCTAAGGTTTGAAGAAAAACATCCATAGCCTTGCCAAAGCTTGAGGGAAGCATTCAAGCATGTTTTACTTGCTTTGTAGTTGTGTTCTTCGGTTTGTTTCAAACCAGAAAGTTTCTGTTTCTCTTTAATTTCAGTACCTTTTAAATCATGTTTTCATTATTAGATCATGGTTAGGGTACTAGTTCATCATAACCATATAGGACATTTTTTTGGTTTGTTTTGCATGTTTAAATGAATGTTTATTAGGAACGTGTTAGGGTTAGTTTAATCTTGATATTATCATGCATATAGCCCGGTTTAATCATCATATAATGTTCTGCATATTTATTTTTATGTGTTAGTTGCTTTATTTGCATTAAATCATGTTAGTAGTTCTTAAACCGGGCTTAGGTTTGCATTGTGTGTGTTTAGTTGCGTGTTTAGGTTCATGTGTATTATTTAATTCATATCATTCATGTTGGGCGCTTTGCGGTGGAATCCAGGTGAGTCCTCTTTTCATAGCATGTTGCTTGTTGGGTGCATTGCTCTTCAAATAATTCAATTTATGTGTTTTTGATGATCAATTGAGTGTTTTGAATGCCTTTTCACATATTGTGTGAGTTGGGTTATGTTTATGATCATATGATATTTAAGCCATCTTTTTGTAAGAAAATCATTGTTTTGTGGAAAATTGATTTGATTGTATTCATTAATCGAACTTGAATGATGTGTATTTTATTCAATCACCTAGTTGTTAGGTTTAGTAAATGAATTAGGGTTAACAATGAATTTTGTGGAATAATTAATTATTTAATCTCATAAAATAAAAGGTTAATAGAGGCCAATAACCTTCCCCTCTTATACCTAAGTTCCTGAACCGAGATATTTGCTTGTGATGGACTTGTGCCTGTACTTAGTTTTCATTGTTACAAGTTTCTTAATTGCCCTAAAATTAAGTGGCGACTCTCGAATATAAGTTGGTACAACATTGGGTGGAAACGCGCCTTATACCCAAAAAGGCATGGCATCCACAATGCGTAGATCATTAACACCTAACATGGTATATAAATATTTAGGCTTTTGTATTCTGTACTTCCTCAAATGGCCATTGATTTGCTTACAGGTAGGCAGATTGACACTAAAATAAGAAAAATAGGAGAGCACCTACATAACGTCACACATATCTTCTCATTGTTATTTCTGGAAAGCCCTTTTTTCTTATAAGAATTTTTAAGGATTCAAGTGTTGGGCTTTGTTAGGCTGATTTCTGGAACAAGCCCTTATTTCTGGAAAGCCCTATTGCCTTTTTTTCCTTTGTCAACAAAATCTTCTTCGTTCATGATAAAATAGAGAAACATTACCCCTATTCCAAGGCATTTAAGCACAATGAACATGTAAAAACATCAATTGAAGCCACCATCACAACTGTTAGGCATGAGAACTTAAACCGAAAATCAAGATCATCACAAGAAACAGTCAATACCAAGAATGCAGTATGCAACGATCTACTGGCTCAAGTACACAATGAAACACATGGAAACACAAAAACTTTATAAACTTGCCATTAACCCCATAACTACTTGTTAAAAGAAATTAACATATTGGCCCCTCAAAACAATATAATTTTATTTTGATCCCTTCAAAATCAAAAAAAATTTACCTTTACCCCTCCAAAATCAAAAAGTCATGTCATAAAAATCAATAATTTACCTTTACCCTTCCACTGCACACAAAAAGTCATTATAAAAAATATGAAGAAGGGAAAAGATAGCGGCCCCAAAAGCTCTCCCATAATACATTTTTATATTATAAAATTGTAATACATCTCATGTAAGTTTACATGCTTAGTCTTTAGCATAATTACCTAACAAGAAGTGATAATCTGATCGAAATGTGACCTTGGGTTGTGAGCTTGAAAGTCCAAGATGAGCTCCAAAGACTGGTACCACCCAAACACTGATTCACAGACATTTGTAATCTACCTAAGCTCTATTTTGTAAGATTGGTTTTGGGGGGGAAAGTAAAGAAAAGAAAAACTCAAACTCCAGCTGACTCGTAATGCTGGTCACCCTTGCTTCCTACAAGTGGAAAGGGAGAATCTACAAGGAATTATCGGTTTCCCATTTACTGATGGTCCAAACTCTTCTTGGCTCATGAGCATTGCCAATTTGCTATATATAAAATTGATTTGACATTGATGCAAAACACAAAATGTATTCAACATCACCAGATATTTTAGTGTATTGCTAAACATTTTTATCATCAGAGGCATCGTAACCTATTAATCAGGGGTGTCACTCGAACCCATTGAAGGAAAGGGGAAAAAATATATTATATAAATGTTGGCATTTTAGAAAAAAAGTCAGCACAATTGACTCCACAAAAAAGATAGTTTTGAACCCCTGGATTTCAATTCCATTCGTTTGAACACACCATATAAAAGTTTAGGATTTCTTTGATAACGTTTATATTTATAAGCTATTGCTAATATTTATAAAAATCTTAAAAATTATAAACAAAAACTCATTTGGTGTCTATTTTCATTTTCAAAAAATAGAAAACATTACAAAATTTATTAAAATTTTTGCAACCAAAAAAAAAAAGTTGTTTTCATTTTTTGAAAATAAATTTTCATTCATTTCTCCCTCACCGCCTACGATCACTACCTACAATCCATTACCACTGCTGACCACCATATCCAGACACCCGCCATCTTCAGCAACCTCCACCTTCAAGCACCACTGCTGGTGACATCCTTCAACCACCACCACTGAAGGCCCATTACACTTTCGTTCTTTTCCTCTTGGGAGGGATAGTACTATTAACTTTTGTGCAAAAGTTGCGTAACAAGGACAAAATATGGTGAGTTTTTGGTAAAAAAAGGGATTGGTAACAGCACAACCCTTTATGAAGGTAAGTTTTTTATTTACACCACTAACAAAAAAATTTGGAGTAGCCATTGTTTATAATTTAAGAATAAATGATAATACATATAATATCTCATCTCACCCAATACAATATAGCAACTTATAATTACTCAAAGAAAATTATCAATCGAAAAAATTACCTTATTTTTTCCAAATCTTTGGCGGAGTTCAAGTTCTCCACAGAGCTTGGTTCAACATGAAGAGTGTAATCTGGGCCAAAGTATTCATAATACTCATTGTAAGGCAATTTATTATCAGGTTCTACCCCAACAGCAACTGCTGTCTGCAACAATGTAACAACAAACTGAGCTTCGACCAATAACATTCCAACAAAAATAGAAGTTATGTGAAATATCAAAAGCAAAGGCAGAGAGAGACCTCATAGCACCAACAGCGGGCAACATTCCGAATTGTATAGCCTCCCCCACCCAAAACCATTAGAGGGACATTGAAAGATCTAAGAAAACGAAGGCAATCTGCATGGCCTTTCACAGACAAGTTGAAACACCCCAATCTATCACCAGACAATGAATCAGCTCCACATTGGAGAACAACTGCATCTGGCTGATAAACCTCCATAACCTTTTGGATGATAGGTTGAAATAGACCACGGAAGCTCCCATCATCCAATCCATCATTTAAGGGAACATTTAGTGCATAATACTTACCACCCAGTACCCCAATGTCTTTAATATGCCCAGTGCCAGGAAAGAAGTCTCCAAATTTATGGAAAGACACCGTCATCACCCTATCTGTGGTAAAAAATGCCTCCTCAACACCATCTCCATGGTGGACATCGATGTCTACATACAGTACACGCTGTCCAATAACATTGAGGGAATCAGAAAAAATGTGTTCAAAAGTTATGGTAAAATGACCACACACACACACACACACACACAAAAGAAAACAAAAGAAAAAACTTGATGGCTGTGGAATAATATTAGGAAATAAGGAGAAAGAAAAACCATGTGAGTTTATGCAGAATAGGCAATTAAAAGCAACTCAAAAGGCCATACACCAGAAATCTGGACTATCTAGAAATCGGTGTACCCAAAAAATAAAAATCAGATTGCAAGTTGCATGAAGTGTAAGTGAAAGCTTGGTGGCTGTGGAATAATGTTAGGAAATAATGAGGAAAGAAAAACAATGTGAGACAATTAAAAGCAACTCAAAAGGGCATACACTAGGAATCTAGACAATATCTAAAAATCAGTGTAACAAAAAATAGAAATTACAAAATAGATTACAGATTGAACAAAGTTTAAGGGAAAGGGAAAGACCAAGTTTTTCATTTTGGCAGGTACAAAACGTCAATTTATAACATGATTGGTTCGACAAAATAAAAATTCATGAAACTCACTGACAACACTACTCCCAAAAGCTTGAAATTAAAAAATAAAAAACAAAAATCATGACATGACAAAAATGTGCCAACTAGCTGTCAGCAACAAATAACAGTGTATCCACGTAATACACTTCCAATTAGATAAATTGACTATGATGAATCTAATTAAATAATAAGCCAGCTAATGATTTATTCCCATAAACTCCACCACTACCATGCTTCCCATTTGATAGGAAGATTATACCTCTTTCACTTTCCAATGCATCTTTTTTTTTATGCTATTGAAATATATTTGTAGAAAGGCTATAAACACTTGTTTCTATGGATCATGCCCAATGTATAAATAATCAGAACATGCTATAACCTAGCCATGACTAATGGAATTCTACCCAATTTTTATGCTATGCAATTGTATCATAAAAATGATTTCGTGGTAACAAATTAAAGCCATAACACTCCATTTTGTTACAAACTAAATAGCACTAACGCGGGCACGCAACATGAAACGGACGCACCATGTGACACCCCAAAGAACGCCACATGCTATGACTATACGATTATCTACCATTGAATATTGTAAGTCAAATTAATTATCTTAGTATACTAAGTACTTAATATAAAGCTTAGAAATGGGTAGCTAGGAAACTTTGAACATGAAAATTCTACCATCCACTATTCAGACTTAAGAATTAGTCCCATCTTGAACATAGCAAGTAAGTGTGCATTATATCAAAAGTATTTTTACATTACATGACCAAATATTTACCTTAATTTTATCACCTTACAATACTCTAAAAGATAGAAATATGAATTGATAAGAAGAAACCCTAGAAGATGAATACAATTGGCAAGAAACTTAGAAATGAAAAACATGCCTTGATGAGACAAACTTAAGAACAGAAATACTTGTAGATCATTAAGTGTTGGGGGATACCTTAAGTTTAGAATTTGTGAATGCTAGGATGTGCCAATGCACTAATTAAGGAGCTTAAAGAAAATGTACTCGTCATTTTAATGCCATTTATTATTTTGCTAATAAGGATCAGTGTTAATTAAGTATGATTAGTGAGCCATAATTACGATTAATTAAGTTAGGTATGATTAAGTTAAACCTAGATTAATTAGTACAAACCTTGGTTAACTAAATAAGCAAGATTAGTTAAACTAAGCAAATAAAATTAGACAATTTGATAAAGCACACGTATACCTCTCCTTTTGTCCCTCATAACTCTTGTCTACCTTATATAAGCCAAACCAAGTCAAGAAGAGAGGAAATTCTGCTGAAGAAAAGAGAAAGAGCAAGAAGAAGGAGAAAGATGACGGAAAGACGAAAAGCTTGAAGAACTTCAAGAATTTCAACCTAAATCACCATTTTTGATCATCCTAGAGGTAAAATTAAACCCTAAATCATGTAGCTAACCTATCAATCACCTAAGATTAAGAAGAAACTAGAATCAATTTGGGTTAGTATAGAAGAAATGAAGAGAAAAGATAAGGAGGACTTAGGGTAATTGAAGAACAAGTAAAGGGTCTCAAATTCTTGCTAGCTTGATCTTGTTTTTGATGTTCCTAGCTCATAGGAAGTTCTATGCTCATGATTTCTCATAGCTTTCAATGATTTTGCATATTTAAATTCATGTTTTGAAGGAGGGAGAGGAAGAAGATTACAAAAGAATTGAAATGAAGATAAGAAATTAGAAATCTTGAAGTTTTGATATAGTTTTGATGATCTTATTGCTTTTAAAAAGCTTACTTTCATGTTTATTCATGTTTTCAAGAGCTTTAGAAGCTCAAAGTCAGGTCTTGAAACCCTAGAAAGAAAGGGAAGAAGATGAGAAAAGGAATAGATTTTCAAACTCAACCCAAATGTTTTAAAACAGCCAGATCCGATCGAGCAGATTTGACTTCTGCTCAAGCAGCTCAACCCCTAAAACTAGATTTTCACTACTACTTAAATCTGCCCATGCAACCCCAACAATCCGCCCGAGCGGATTTCCTTGTTTCAGCCCAATTTCAAATAGGCATATTTCTCACATCCGGACGCAGTTTTAAGCGATTCTTGAGATTTAAGCTCCTGAAATCTAGTTTCTAATGGTGATAGTCTCACATCCAAATTCCATGTATAAAAAGAGATGTTTAAAATAGTGAAGGCTACTCACTTTTTTTTTAACCATTTCATGCTAACTCCTTTCCTAACTTAGTTTTCTTTCATTTCTTCCTATTTCCTTGAAACATCTAAGCATGATATTTTCTGATACAAAACATATGAGACTGTTGAGGTATACTTGGAGCTCTCAAACTTACGTCTTTGGCACACTTCAATATTCATCAAGCATTAATCACCCACGATGCTTCTAGGCATGCATTTGACACTTGATTTAGACTTGGAATAAGGTAAAGACCTTGAACAATCTAAGAAACTAAGAAAGACATATTAAGGTAAGTTTAGGCACTTGAATTGAAGTAGAAGCTTGTAAATTGAATTGTTTTCAATGTCTTGTTTATGCCTTGTGAAGGTCAAGCTTAGGAAGAGAAACCCTTTGATCGATGAGCCATTTGTGAGTAATATTATACTAAAGTTATGTTCGAAAATTAGTTTTGAAAACTTGATAATATGTCATATTCCGTGAAATTCTAATTTTGTTATGAAGGAATAAATATCCCGTATTTTGTTTAAATCTATCTATGGCATCCGTAGATAGTCCCAGCCATTGGGGATAGTCTAAGAGCACATTTGTTTGGAGAGATAGGGGCATGGGATAGGACTCCATGTTCGGTGGATGGAATAGTCCATTATTTGGTTCAAAAATTTTGCACCAGACTACTAGTCCCAAATACGTTGGATTGTTCTATCCCAAGGGGGATGTGAGACAAAAAACTTAGGTTAGCTTGTCCATGGCATTACAATTTTTGGCCGGTCGACCGCTCGATTGACCAGCCAGTCAACCGAGGCGACCACCGATGAGTGCTTTTGTGCCTGGTTTTGCTTAAATAAAATAAAATTTAAATTTAAAATAAAATTAATTATACTTAATAATGTAAAATAAAATTTAAAAATCTCAACTAAAAATTAAAAAAAATTTATGTAATTTTTATTGATGTTCTATTTATCTAATTTTTTAAAAATTTTAGTAAATAAATAAATAAAATAGGATATACATAGGATTCAATAAAATAGTCCAATTCAGACTTCTAATCCTATAACTAAACAAACATAGGATTCAATAGAATAGTCCAATCTAGACATCTAATCTCATGACTAAACAAACATAAGATACGCATCCTTTCCAACCAAATAATCCAGGGACAATGTATCCTAAGACTAACAGTCCGACGGATTAAAATTCCCTCTTATCCAATCCGTCTAAACAAACACACCCTAAATGTACCATGGCTATGTTTCAACTCCACCGCCACTGAGTGTGGATTGTCTAATCGTTTCCAGGTCGCTTATTCCATTAAGAGGCTCTAATAGATGTACTACCATGTATCATGCTTTGATTATGAATTATTCTTATGAAATATTTGAATGGCTGTAAATGCTATATGGAGTGATTCTTTACTAATGAGCTTGGGATTTATTCATTTACTACTTTACTTTCATATTATTCACTAGGCAATAACTCACCCCTCCCTTATATATATATATATGTGTGTGTGTGTGTGTGTGTGTGTGTGTAGTAGGTGATGAAGAGTCCGGGTATGAAGAGAAGTTGATTAGAAGTCGGTCTCAAGTGCTTCTACTGGCTTTGTAAAGCTATATCATAAGTGTTGTATTTTATTTTATTGTTTAAATCATGTAATGATATAGATAACAATCCAAGAGGAATGTATGCTTTCATTTCATATAATTATGCACTGCTCTGAATGGATGTTTCAAATGGATTCAATATAAGCAAGTAATGACTTTTGCACTCAAAATTGAAACAATTGCCCCAATTATCATAGGAGTCCAACCTGTTTTGAAAGTTAGGCCTTTGGTAGTCTCCGACTACTAAACGATCACTACACCATCCTATTTGAGTTGGGATAGAGTCACGACACACCAACACACCAATTTTAAAAAAATGCAAAACATCATACACTTGGGACACAATAAAATTTTATATTTTTATAAATTAATCATTTGTCATATATATGAATCATTTATTCAAAGATAAAGAAAATAAGTTATATAAAACTAATTACATAAAAAGTTATATTTCATAACTTAAACATTAAGATGGCATTCATGTAACAATTATATTCTAAAGAATACAAAACAATTATAGAACATTGTAATATACATGATATATTTATCTTATAAATGTTTCAAAACATATTCGGAGGGTTTAAGAAGTGTTATCGAAATGTCCGCATGGGTTAATTTTATTATGTAACCCCTATACTACTATAACCTCTAGAAGTGTCAAGAAAGTGTCCAATAATATCAATTTGATTGTTTAATTAAAACACGTTGAAGAAATGTCAGACATGCTTTTAAGAGTATCCAAAGTGTGTCAGTGTTCAACATGGGTATCGGACACGACATGCTTCCTCCACATAAGTGTATGGGCATCTTAGGTTGCAAGGTTGTCACAAAGATGAACGTATCAGAATCTCACATTAGTAACTCCAACACTAACATGTCTTAAGATTTTGGGCTCAGAGCATGTAACACCCTAAATAATACCACATGCCATAACCATATTATTATTATCCACTTTTGAATGCTCTATAAGTCAAATTAACTATCTTATTATACAAAATATTAATGTAAAGCTTAGAAATGAATAGTTAATAAGTTTTGAACACATGAATTTCCTTGCTAACTGTTAAGACTAAGGAAGTAGTCATCTCTTGAACTTATGTATCACACTGGAAGCATTTTTACTTGACGTAACTGAATACTTACCCTAATTTGACTACGTTACAATGTTCTAGAGAAAAACTATGAATCGTTAGGATAACAACTTAGAAGATGAATACATTAGTTAGAAAACTTAGGAATGTTTGCAATTGATAGAGAACCTAAGGAGCCTAGAAGAATTTGAACATGGAACTTTGACAAGAGATTCAATAAGTATTAAAGAGTTAGGGAATTTATCTTGAACTTAAATATTGAACACTTGGATGATTCAGGAAACCCTAAGTGAGGAGCTTAATGATCTTAGTCTAACGAGTAGAATTTAACGAGTACTTTATTAGAAATTAAGCGAGATTAGCAAAATTTAAGCAAGATTAATTAGACTTATGAAGATTAAGGACTAATTAGACTAATGAAGATTAAGGACTAAACCTGATTAATTAAGACTAAGCTTGGTCAATTAAGCTAATGGGACAATTAGTAAAATACTTAAGCTAATTAATCTTTTACATCAAACAAAATAGAGGCTTGGAGAGAGTTTGAAAGAAATCTTGAAAGTTGGAGTTCGGTGATCTTGAGAGCAAGAACAAGAGAAAGAAAGGAGAAAATCAGAAAATCAATTGAAGATTTAGGCTTGGAAAATTAGGAGAAATTCACTAAAAGGTAAGACATTCAACCCTCTTTATTGTATTATTGATTTAATATAGTTAGAAAATCATTTAGGGCTGGTTTAGGAACATGACTATTTTAGTTGACTTTTTGGCATTTTTAGCCTAGCTAAAAAAATTAAGTTTGAGATTATAATTGGGCTTTTTTGTAGTTAATTTGATGGATGTGAGAGAAAAAAGTGAAATGACTATGGTTTAGATGTGACATTTTGTCTTATTTGCTATTTTAGCCCAAAACCTTCTTCCCAAACACCCCCTTAGCATAGATTTTGAAGGATTAAAGTTGGAGTTTTATAGAGAGTTAAGGAAAAGAAAATAGTCTTGAAGATTTGCTAAGAAAAACCATGTTTTGATCTGTTTAAGCTCAGAATTTATTGCATACACGTAGTTTACCCATGAAATACACATGATCAATTCATGTTTTGAAGCATTAAACATCATGTTTTGAAAGATGGAAATGAAGAAAATGAGAAAGGGTTTGAAAAGAAGTTAAGTTGTGAAGTTCTTGAATCAAATCACATTTTTTGTTGGCTAATCTTAAATTCATGCATTCAAATGAGTTTTTATGAACCTTGCATCATATTTTCATGATTTGGTACATCAAATATCATGTTTTGGAGCTTGGGGATGAAGAAAATGAAGTTAGAACACCAAGAATACGCACCAGCCCAAAATTCTGCTCAACAGGTGCTCGAGCGGTTACCATCCACCACACGAGCAGACAAAGCCAAAACTACCACTGCATGAACCACTGCTCACGCGGCCTAGGCCACCACACGTGCAGCCAAACATTAGTTGGGGACTGTTTTGTCTCCGCACATGTGGCCAGATTTCAACGCTCATGCAGCCAAACAGAGCACTTATGCATGTTTTGAACCTAAATAAAAATTAAGCACAGCTAGAAACCAACTTAAAGCATGTTTGATTATTAAAGAAAAGCTAAAGTTAAGTGAACCTAGGTTGCCTTGCATTATGCCTCATCGATATTTGTATGTTTATTGTGTAGGTCAAGCACTTCGGAAGTAGACTTTTTGTTCAAGTGCCATTTGCAAGTAGTAATATAAAGTTATGTTTGTTAAGTTATGATTCGAAATGCAAAACCTATGTTATAGTTATGAAAGCTACGCTAATGTTTTATCATGAATATACTCTTGTATCATGTATGAAAATGACACCAGTGGAATATGTCCTAGTTATTGGGGGACTCATGCCAATAACACCTTGTTAAGTCCTAGTTATTGAGAGACCCATGCCAATAACACCTTGATGCTCAAGAATCCTTGGAATGCTCATCTCTATGTATCATGTTTGAAAGCTAAGTCTTGAAATATCATGCTCTTGTTTGGGAAGAATCCTTGGAATACTCATCTCTATGTATCATGTATCATGTTTGAAAGCTAAGTCTTGAAATATCATGCTCTTGTTTGGGACGGGTTGGGGTCATGACAGAGCACCTCCATTTGCAAGCTAAAATCTTGCTAAAGCCATTTTCTGACTAGACCCTTAACTCTCTATATAACTCTCCATTGGTGTGTGCATAAACCCTAGCCAAAATTTCAAATTTGCAACATAAGCAAAAAGCACACCATGATCACATGAGACTTTTGGTGAGTACATTCAATGGTCAAAAATTAATATCAGAGTTGGTGGTGTCAAAATGGCAATGAACCATTGGAGCATTGTTGGTGGCCAAAAAATGGCTTCCGCAATATCATTTTGGCTACAAGCATTGGAGTTGTTGCTCAAACAGTTTTATTTGTTTCCTTTTAGCAGTCAAACAAAAAGTCGAATACCCCCTCCCACTTTCCCCCAAACCCAAAAATGAAGGGGTCAATATAAGCAAGAAACCAGAAACAAGTAGAAAACATAAAAGATACGAGTAAAATCCTAAATTAGACACTTCCAAAATGGCCTCAAATAATGTTGACAATAGAACTCTTGTTCCAGAAAAAGTAAAAAGGACAAATTTGTATCAGAAATTCAAAAACAATGACCAGTCAATGAAACTAAGGTGAAAACCTAAGATCACAAACATCAACTAATATCCACACAAAAAAAACACCCAAAGCATACAAATCACAAAAGCAAAAACAAAATTAGCATTAAATGAATAATAAAGCTTTAAAAAAAATTAAAATTAAAACTATATAGATATATATATATATAAAAAAAATAAAAAGTATTACCCTGTGAACCTTGAGGAGCTCAAGGATGCCCAAAACGATGTCATTGACGTAGCAAAAGCCAGAGGCCTCGGACTTCTTGGCGTGGTGCAAACCGCCGGCCCAGTTGATGGCGATGTCGGCGTCCTGACGATTGAGTTTGACGGCGGCGCCGATGGATCCGCCAGCGGAGGACTGGCAGAAGGAGAAAAGGCCGTCGAAGACAGGACAGTCCTCGCCGACGTTGAAGCGCTTGAGATGGCGGGCGTGGGTGTGATCGTGGAGGGTCTCAGGGGTGACGGAGGCCAGGAAGTCAACGTAGTCGTTGGAGTGGAAGAGGCGGATGTCGTCGGGGGCTGCTGGGAAGGGCCTGTTGATCTCCATGCGCCGGTGGAGGGAGTAGTGCACGATCAGGTTGTGTGCCATCCTGATTCTGTGGGGCTTCATCGGGTGTCCCTGCCCGTAGTAGTAGTCTCCGATTGACGGCTCGTAGAAGTAGCTCACCCGCCTCTTTTTTGCGTCCGGCCCCGACGGAAGCGACACAGATGACTCACCCATCTCTCTCTCTCTCTCTCTCTCTCTATTCTCTCTCTCTGGCTTCTTTGTGCTGCTGCTGGTGTAGCCTAGCCAGGCTCAAATTACATACGCACCTTAAAAAGCTGAGTTTCATTGGTTCAACCTATGACCCTGTTTGGAAGTAGATTTTTTGGTTTTTTTTACCTTTAAAATAGCTAATAAAGATAAAATAAGATAAAATAATCAATAACACAAAAAGTTATATCTAAATATAATCATTTCACTTTTTTTTTCGCAAACATCAAATCAATTACAAATAGCAAAAAATCAATTGTCATCCTAAACTAAGGTTTCGAAAAGCGATTGCGATCATTGTAATGGTTGCAGTGGTGCTGTTGTACTTGTGGGATGTAAAGGTCGTAGTGTAACAATTGCGGTAACCAAAATCATATTTTTTTATATTTCGCACAATTTTTTAAAAAAAAAAACTTACGAATACACATATTTTTTTTCAGAATCACATTTATTAGGGTTCAAAATCAATTTAAAAAATTACAAATTAAAAAATACCACTCTTTTTAACCTTTTAACAATTTGACAAATAAAAAATGGAAACATCAGAGTATAAAATTTAAGATACTATACAATAGTAATCAAACAAAAAATGACACTCCTAAATTAAACATTGCTATGCCAACCTAATTAGTCGGACACCTAAACAATAACATGTTGTAGACACCCCATTTTGACAGGCCCAAAGACTTGAGCGCTTTCTTTTGATTATCCAATAATAAAAATGAAATTGTGTTTCTCACTTAATTCTCAATAAAAAAGATGGACTTTGTGCTTCATTCCCAACCTTAGACCTATTTTAGCCAAGTGTTTTAGATCCATTCAAAACTCTCTTTTAAAATATTCCTTTTATGGATAGTTCTAATAATTCTACTGAAAAACCCTATTTTTCCTAAGAAAAACAAAAGGAAAAAAAATTAAGTGAATAGTGCTTGGTGAATAGTGCCGGATGGCCAACAAATTGGTCGCCCGGCTAATTTGCTTAGGAGAAGGGCAGTTTCGGCAAAATTCTTACTGAATACGTGTGGATCATGCCCATTTCAGATCTTTCTAGGTATATTCATGCATGAGATGTGTATCTACCTCCATCAATTGTTTTTCTTTGGCCTCCATTGTCAAAAGGAAGTTTGTCCTCTTCCATAAGGTTGCATTCATTTCAACCACCATTGTCACCCCATCATCCTTGTCTTCCACTTTCTCATTGACTTAGCAACCTTCCTTGATTGCATATAGAGATAGAGAGGATCAAAATGGATGAGAGGGAGTGAATAAAAAAAAAGAGAGAATCAATTAAGAGAAGAAAGATAGAGAGGAAAAAAATAGATAAGTTTTAACATTGAAACCAAAACTTCCATCCCTTAGATATACATTGATATATATCATCTTCTATTACCAAAACCATCCCAAACATTTTGTTTTAACCAAATTCTTGAGCTTTAATCAAAAGAGAGTGAGTGTTATTGAAAAGGAAAAAAACAGAGAGTTGAAACAACTCCCCCCCCCCCTCTTCCACACACACTATTAAACCTCCCAAAAACACCATTCCACACTTGAATTTCTAATTTTCAAACTAAGGATTGAGAACACACTTCCTAAACTTGAGAGTGATCAAAAAGAAGTTTAGAAATCAAATTATTTCTTGTAAGGTAAATTTTGCACATTTTTTATTTTCTTTTACTTTCTTACATTTTCTTTCTTATTTTGCTTTTCTTGCTTTAATTTCATGTCATAAACCTGTTATAAGCTAACTGAAAGTGGTTAGTTGAGTCACTTGCATATTTTCCGTTTGTTTTTCTGGTTTTTGCAATAAAACAAAGCTTTGGCCTGGCCTGATTGGCCAGCTGGCCAACTTTTTGGTCAGCTAGCTCATCTTTTGGCCGGCCAGCCAATTTCTCCTAAACAAAATCCAACAGTCTCCCTGACGTCAAGTAGAACAGTTTGACGGTCTCCAAGGCCCCCTGAAGTTTCTTCTTTTTTTTTTTCTTTCTGTTTTTGTTTTAATTAGAGAATGTTTGTAAGGATATATTTTGTTGTAATATTTTTTCTCTCCCCCATTCAGATTTGTAATATTCAAAGCGTTGTAATAATTTCCTACTCTCGCTTCTTTCTATAACGTTCTTTTATTTTCTTTCCATATTCTGTAAATATGCATGTTATTTTGTTTGTCATCATATCTATGTCTTGTATCCATGTCTTATGCCCTAAGATCTAACTAAATTTGCATCTATGGATTTAATTGATTATTATGTGATTTTTTGTAGTACCTCATGTTTTGAGATGATTCACATGTCATATTAGAAACCGGATCTGCAATTGCATTTCATGAGTGGATTGCATTAGGATCTTGTATATAGAACGATGCATGTTTTACTAACTTTGTTTTGTAATTATTTGCGGGACGTCAGTAAATATGTAAGTTATTGTGCTTTAGCATCCCGCTTGCGTATATTTTTTCTACTATATTTAGCATCCTACTATGTGGCTAGTTGCTTATTTGATATAACTCTATGCATGCCGGTAGATGAAGATTGTGTTATTTAATTTGGAATAAAATTGATTTTCATTATTGCACTATTCAAAACCTTTTTGAAATAATGAAATCAAATTGTTCTAAAGTAAATGACATAGTCTACATTTGTTTGATTCACATAGTAAATTTTAGGATTTACTAAATAATTGAAATATGAACATATAAAGTTAATAAAAATCATATCATGGCTTTGTAGAGGCCAATCGTTTGATCGGGTGAGCGGGAGGTGCTCAATTAATGAACTTCCCCCTTCATACCTAAGGTTACAAGCCAAGCATCCTTAGTTACGACGAACAATGGCCTTGGCACATATAACGATTCTGGTTTTGACCCGACCTTTGTTATATTCCGGACTCGGGTTCCGTGGTTTCATATTGTTATCCATGTCTTGTTTTCCCCTCATTTGTCTTTGGGTTTGAGTATTGGAATGTCTTGGGCATGTCCGAAGTAGGTTAGCTACTAGTTGTTCAAGTTGTTGTTGTCTGGAAAATTACCTCTTCACTCAAGCGAGGCTTCTTGCGCTCGAGTGAGCCTTGTGAAATTTGCTTCTTTGCTCGAGCGAGACTTTTTGTGCTCAAGCGAGATTTGTGTGCTCTTAGTATTTTACCCAAACGCAGAATTTCTGGGAAGGTTGAGGTCTTCACTCGAGCGAGGCTTCTTACGCTCGAGCGAGGGTGTGCGTCTGTATAACTTCTGAAGGTATGTATTCCGCACTCGAGCGAGGTCACTTGTTATATCTGGTCGCTCGAGTGACAACTCCTTCGCTCGAGTGAGGGTCACGTATATCAGTTTGCAGCTGAGCAATTTTATATCACTTTTTGATTTTCTTTTTACTAAAGACTCTAATCTGGTACTTTCTCTCTCTAAAAATCTCTCTCTCTCTCTACAAATACTCCTTGATCTAAGCATATCACTACCCTACTCCCATTGATAAAGAGTTAGAGCACGTTGTGGGCTTCCTCTTGATCCGAGTAAAGTCGAATTTGGGGCACTTTTGAGGTTCTTCTTCATCTCCTTTGGGCTTCTACACTTGAGGTAGAGATATTCTACACATTAATATGATTTTTAACTTAGGTATTTGTTGTTTTGTATAAATGGTGGGATTTGGGAGGTTTGGGAAAAGTTAGGGTTTGGATTCAAAAATTAAAAGTGGGGTTTTCCATGTTGGTTTTACAAAATGACTATGGGGCTTGTATATGAGATTATCTAGTGTTAGAATGGTGAAAATTTAGCCTTTGGGTTGGTATTTGAAAAGGAGAGAATTTGCCCAAAAATGAGTTAAATAATTATTTTATATAAATAATGAAATTAATATGGGAAATGTGAAATTGAAAGAATGTATGAATGAATGGTGTAGTTGGATTTGTTAAATCACTCACCTATGGAAATTTGATTAATTATATGTTATAAAGATTTTCTATCTGTCTAGAAATATCTGTTTTGGGCTATCGGTGAAGGATAGCTATGATTGTTGTAGAAATTGTATGAGGACTAGGTGAATTGAAACCTGTCATTTAAATTATGTCATTGAATATGACGATATGATTGAAGCATTGAATATGTGTTGTGGATAGTCATTGTATATGACAATGTTTTAATACATTATATATGTGTAATTGTTTGGGAGGAGAAATGGGATGTACTCCATTGTTTGGGAGGAGATAGAGGATGGACTCCATTTAAAATTAAGTTGGCCGGAGTGTCTAGGGTGAAAGTCCCGAAATCTTATGTATATATGAGTGCCGATTCCCTTGGATGAGAATTTCGTAAAATGGCAAAATAGAAGTGTTGGAGTGATGAATGTATTAAATTGTGAACCATTGAGTTGTAATCTCATTTTGGTTGATTCGATAATAATGAATTTGGTTAATAGATTAACCTGAAATGAATGAATGGAAATGGATTGAGATATGGTTATTTATAGTGAATGGTCATGGAAAGAATATAAGTTGGTTATGAATATTGAACATTTTTCTGACATTTATATCTTAGTTAAACCTCATATACTGTGTTAGTTTATCTCTACTAGGCTTTGGCTCACCCTACTTGAGAAACCATTTTCAGGTACTGGTGACATGCTACCTCCAAGGAAATAGCTTGGGAGGACTGAGGGTTGAAGGCTCTATTTTGATTTTATTTGTCCTTAAGTGTTCATTTAAGCCGAGGGCTTTATATGTATAGAGCTTAGGACTCTTTCTTTTGTTGTAACCAAGTGATATCTTGGAAAGATGTAAGCCCGTAGGACACTTATTTTGTTATTATTAATTCGTATTACATGTTGTAAATTCAGAATGAATGTTTATGAATGTATAACGCATGTAAAATCTTTTTGTAATAGAAACGTTGATGAATGAAGTATATCATTTTATTATGTTTATAGATTTTTTGTAATGGATTATTTGTATTTTATTTTGGGGGCATTACAGCACGAGTCACGAGTTTCCTAATTTTTTCAAAATATTAGGTGGCGGCTCTAATATCTAGTGATGTAGTCCATTTCTGGCAAAGAATTTGTAATAAAAC